AAAAGTCCAATCCGAAAGAGGTTTGCATGGAAGAAATGAGTTCATATTTGCATTGATTGAAGTTTTGAACTTAATTTAAGAAGTCTAGAGGGTCCAATCTGACCATAACTCAATGGCAGTTAACTTCTTGCTAAAGAAAATAAAGCACAATGGCTAGATGTGAAGGTAATTACACATATGGTGCTTGAGACATTTTAATTAGCATTGTTAGTGAAATTCAAGCCTAAGATCGAGCTAGGATTTATAAGAAGGGTTCAATGTTGTAACATGTCATCTCTATTGCCAGCTATTAAACTGAACTAATTAGTGCTAGAGAGATTTCAGCATTGGTAGAGAAATTTCAACATTTTTCTTAAGCTGCTACCAGGATTAATTGAGGCTATGAAAAGTTTAACCTAAAGGAAATCAAGGAAACTAGGAACAAAGAGCATTCACCAATAGTTATGGAGTGGAGAGCAACTTGTGATTAGGAGTATGATGACAAGAATGAAGTTGATACCGGTTAAGGCTAGAAATTTAGTTAAAATTTACTGTTTTCTTGTTCAATCTTACAAGTATATGAGCTTTCAACACGTAAAACGGGTATCAAAAATCACAATCAACAATGCAATTTCAATTATCTTTACTTTAATGCATTTAGCTTTAACTTTTTTCAACATTATATTTAATTAGTTGTAACTTTGAAAATTTTTAAAATTTTTGCTTCGTACATGTAAATCCTTATTTTTACTAGAATTATCAAAGTTCTAAAGCTAGAAGCATTTAATAGTAGTTTTTTTAAAAAAGATCATCCAATACATTCAAATTAACTAAGACTTAAATTTTTTTCATGTATATAGAAATCAATATCACATAAATAAATAATAAACTTATAGATCGCAACAGTATGACGAAAAAAATAAGTGAAATGTTTTGTATTAAAAAAAAAATCTAGATTGTTTCGGAAGAAGGGAGAAATAGATGTGGGATTCGTACATAGGCCTCCCAAAACGACCCTCAGTGGCTCATGCCAGCCGAGGATAGTCTATGAGTCCATGTTGACTCAACGGACCCATGGCTTGCAATCCTCCGTTCATACTATCTATTTTAGGACATCATGCTGGGTTGGGTTCGGGGATTGAGATATGCAACCCAAAATTTTATGAATCCTATTACTTTTCTTTTCTTTTCTTTTTTTTAATTTAAATATAATGATGAATTCCAACTCAATTTTTTGACTAAAACATACACACATTGATACAATTCGTTTTGAATCAAATGTTTAACTACTGTAATAGATTTTACTCATGTGATCTTAATAGTTAAACTTTTTTTCTTAATAAAATAATCAAATTGTTTAGTAATATTATTTTTTTTGTCGCATTATTCTCGAGAGAACAAAACAATGAAAAAATAAATTAATTAAAAAAAATTCTCATTGAGGAAAAGATTGGTTTGAGGGCCATGCGATGAACGAGGACAGATGATTTAGGCGAACTTTAAGGAGAGTTTGTGTCAAACCATTCAATTAAGGTGCCTTTATTCCAAAAGGCATCAGTAGCGGCTCCCACCACTTTTAAAAGTGGAGTGTCCAAAGGGGCTATTTGAAAAGAGTGAAAAGTCATATTCAACTAAATGGATGGTACATTTATATTCCATCATCTCTCACACATTTTTTTGCCTTTGATGAAATCCACCCAAAAAAAAAAAAAAACAATGGAAAAGGAATTTTAAATCTTGTAACATTTTTATTTATAAGTTAACACCGTTAAATCAATTAGCTTACATAATATTTGACTAATAAAATTGTGTCAAGTGTATATCACAAGTGAAACAAGAAAATTTATGTGATATTTTGAATTGATAAATTAAAAATTCATGAAAATGTATGCATGGTTATTGAATCATTATTTTTTATAAGAATTGATGATCTTACGTAAGCATGATTTTATATAATTAAAAGTAATTAGATTATTATCTTAAAAAAATAAAAAATATTTATCATTGAAATAAAGTGAATTATAAAATTTATTATAGTTAATGTTATTTATTTAATATGTGAATTAAAAATTTATATCATGTTAAAATCAAATTTATTTTATATTATAAATTTTACATTTTAAAAATAATATTTAATGAACAAAATTCAAAAATAAATTGTGTGTTTTCTTTTAACATATTTTAATATTATATGTAAATATTTTTTTCTTTTTATTATGATTCAAATAGATTTAATTTTATTTTTTAATTCAAAAATACTTTTACTAATTTATATTACAAAAGTTAGTTTATTTCTAAATAAATATATTTTTCAATTTAATAATTATATCTTATTAAAAAGTAAATAAAATAGTACTAATATTTTAAACATTATTATATTTAAATAATATTAAAATTATTAACTTGCATAATTATTAAAATTTAATTATTTTGATATATTTTTAAATAAAATAATATTTTTTAATAATTTCCAACGTTATAATTTTTAATTCATAAAATTAATAATTATTAATCATATAAAATAATTTTAAATCACGAATAATAAAATTATGTAATAATAAAATTACTTCAATAACTAAATTACTATGATTAAATTAAAAATTATATAAAATATTACCTGAGATAATTTTTTAAATTTCTATATGGATGCCGTGTTCATGAGTTAACACCATTAACTCAATATGTCTACGTAATATTTGTGATAAAAGTTTTTTATAAAAATAACTTTTTAAATATAAAAAATTAAAAAAAATGAAAATGAAAATTGAGGAACGAAGAAAGGGAAAGAGGGAGGGATGACCAGAAGGGAATAGGTGAAGGGAGCGAACGTGGCTTGACCGCTCGAGACACTCTCGTCAATCCTCCACTCCTTTCTTCCATTTCCTTCCTTCGGACTTCTTTTTCTCCTTTTTTTTTTTTTTTTAACTCTAAATTTTAATTTGAACTAAAAAAAATTATTTCAAAAGATTTATAATTAAAATTTATATTTAATGGACTGTAATATAAATCATATAATATTTTTTTATTAATGAATAAACATAAATTTACAAAATTTAAAAATATATACACAAATTTAATGTTTAAAAAACTTATGTTATTCATAGGTGATATCTTGTAATTTATTTACGATATATAAAATTTATATATTAAAAATACATCTAATATATAAATTTTTAATACCTTTTTTATTTTCTTATTTACCAATAAACATTGAACCTTAAACTTTTATCAATGTATATAGATTATCAATTAATTATAGATAGTATTTTTTAACCATATGTGCATATGTTTGATCTTTTTAATACATATATAAATCATTTGTTAAGTGTGATTTTACAAGGGATCATAAAAGTAATTGCAATTTCTTTTTTTTTCCATTTTTATATATTGATATTTTTACCAATTATTTTATATTATAATATCAACATATAAAATATCTTCCTCTTACTATCTTAATTTGCAATTCTCACTAAAAGGTAGGAAGGTTAATATTTCCATTTTAATCGAAGTTCAAATCAATTTAATTGGGTTAATTAATCGAATATTGAATTAATTTTGATTTATTATCAAAATTTATTTTAGAAAAATTTTAATTTTTAATTAATTCAATAAAAAAACTGAATTAATTAAATTAATCAAAATATAAGAAACCAAATATATATAATATAAAAATACACAAAATAATTTGCTTCATTTTACAAATTTTTAGAATTTTAAATTTAATATTTTGATATTTAAATATTTTTACTAACTTCAATTAATTCATAATTAAATAATTCAATTCAAAACTAATAGACATAAAAGAATAAATAGTGTAATATTTTTTGGATTAAACATAAAAATAGTCTCTATGTTATATATTTTTTTATTAATTTAATATCTAAAAGAATAAAATTTTCAGCTTGATACTCCAACAATTTTCATTCTGCCATCTATTTTGATATTTGAAAGTAACGTCGTAGTCAATTTGCTAACATAAAATAAATATCTAATAAAATATTGATTCGTGTCAAAATATTCAGTTAGCACTGCATCATCAATTATCATATAAGCATTAAAAAAAATTTCTAAAAATTCACAAAAATTTAAAAAAAAATTTAAAAATTTTAAAAAAATTTAAATATTTTGAAATATTTTTAAAATTATCAAAAATTAAATATTTTAAAAAATATATACAAACTTAAAAAAAATCCAAAAGATCTCAATTTTTCAATAAAAAATCTTTAAAATTTCAAAAACTTTTGAAAATTTTATAAAAAATAAAATTTTAATAAAAGTAAAATTTTCTTCAAATTAAAAAAAAGATTCTCTAAAACTTAAAAAATTGAAAATAAAAAAATCTAAAAATTTTAAATCCTTTTTAAATTTATGAAAAATTTTCTTTTTTTTTATCTTACAATTTTAGTTTTTTTAATATATTTTAAGAAATTTTTTAGGATTTTTTTAAATATTAATAAGTTTTTAGAATATTTCATATTTTTAAAATTTTTTAATTTTAAGAAAATTTTGAAAATTTTAAAGAAATTTTAAAAAAATAGATTTTTTAATTTAAAAAATTTTTCAAAATTTTTATATTTTTTTAAAATGTTTTTGTGATTTTTTTTAATTTTAAGAAATTTTTTATTAAAATTTTCATGTTTTTTGAATTTTTTTTATTTTTATTAAAATTTTGTTAGTTTTTTAAATTTTTATAATTTTTATAATTTCTTAAAATATATCATTTTTATAGTTTTTTTTTATAATTTTTTAAAATTTTTAATGCTAATGTGGCTATTGGTAATATAGCACTAATTGGATTTTTGAAATATATCAATATTTTATTAAATATTTATGTTATGTCAACAAGTTAACTAATAAAATTAGTTTGAAATATCAAAATAAATGATGAAATAAAAGTTTAAGTATCAAATTAATAATTTTATTTTTTAAGTATTAAATTGAAAATATATATATATATAATATAAGGTTATTTTTATATTTAACCCATTTTTTCAATAAAAAATTACCAAAAAAACCAAAGATGAAAAGAAAAACATGGAAAACGGAGACGGACCAAGACAAAAGAGATAAGTAGCGAGTCAAGAGCGTAGACTGTAACGACAGTGGATGGCGGTCGTAGCCGTTCCTAGTGCTTCTAACTTATTTAAAAATCTTTGTCTCACTATCTCTGTCTAAACTCTAAAGTCTTTCTCTTTTTATTTTTGAGAAAAGTTAAAAGAAAAAAAAGGGAGAACAAAAATGGAGAACAATAACATGGGAGAGTTGAAGTGCCGAAATAGGAAGCAAGTTCATTTGTTTTATTGTATGGAATGTGAAGAACTTGCCCGTAAAGTTGCTACTCATTCTGAATTCATTACCCTTCAATCTATCAACTGGAGGTACTCACTCATCTGCCTAAATTCATTCGTAAAAATCTTTATTGCTTTCTGTTAAGAATGATAACTGTCATGTTGTCAGTTCCTGGGATTTTTTTCTTTTTCTTTTTTGCTTTTTTTTTTTTATGATGGGTATTTTTTTTCTTGCTTTTGATTCGTCTGTTTATTGAATGCTTGAATTTTGAAAAACATAGTTGATAAAAAAATATATGAAAACTGGAGGGTATGATCAAATTGGGGTTTTAGGATAAGTGGCAAAGAATTCTATGAACTATGTTGTGACAGAGCATGTGCTCTTTTTTTACTCTGAAGAGAATAGTGAAAACTTATGCTTTTTATTTGGATGTGAATTCATGGATTTTTTGCTTTTCTACTTTGTTTATATTCTGTAGTTTTATGAGATTCTAATGAATTTCCTTGGTGTGTTTATTGCTGGGTTCTGTATGCTATCATTTCATATTTGCAGTTGATTCTATATTGCAAACGTAGTTCTAAGAATCGTGCTACTGCCAATGAGTGATAAGCTTTGATTCAAGGGGGACTGTTTGACAATAGAGTTTGGGAGCATTTTGTCAAGACTGGAAATAACGTGGTCCAAGTTTCTTAGTTCCAAACCCACTCATACGTTGGTCAACCCTTAACAATAGACCATTGCTTTCGTTAACTCGTAAAATCAGTTTGTTTTGATGTTTTAACTAATTGATTTCTCTTGAAAATTCTTCTCTCTCAAGAGCATGTTAACCTGTCTATGTTCTTACTTTCAAGCCCTTCCATGAAACTGAGCCAATCTAAGTGATAGATACACATCATCAGTCATAAAATCTCCTAGAAGCTTGCTTGGAACTTGTATACTTCTTGCATTTTGGATGACTCCAATCACCACTCCCCTATTCCAAAAGCAAACATCTTTACCATTGCATCATTGAAATTTTTACTTTTTCAAAAAAAAAAAAAAAGTTTGAGGCTGACAGTAACATGCTATTGCCATTGGTCTCCTCACCATCAAAAGAAGATGCGGATGCATTCCATCCATGTGAAGTTCTTAACATTCATCCACATTAAGTCAATTGAGTAATTCTCTTGCAGCGGCATAAACATTACATAGAAGTTTTATATCCCATTTGCTTGATTTACAATTACACCTCCTTTTGCAATTTTTGCATGTTTGACTTACAATGTATCTGTTTCTTGCTTTCTTTTATTGTTGAAGTCTCTATCACGGCCAAATCAAGAATATTTTATCCTTTTTGAAGGAGGGAGAGGGAGAGAGAGAGAGATGGGATGGGGGGAAGACATAAGGGACTATTGGAGTTTCAACTTTATGTTGGTGTTTGAAGACTGATCTTTAGTTTTCAATATTCAAACTTCCAATGTCCACATACAAGATAAAATTTATTATTCTGTCAAGATAATGAATCCACACCTATTTTGGAATCAGTTTGGCAAACTGGAATAGGCTTTTATGAACGTTTGTGCAAAATAATTATTACAGTCAATATCTGCTTTGCTGACGTCTTATTTGTGGTATGACAATTGTTGCATTCTACTACTGACATGAACATTCAAATTTCTTGTCTTTCTCATCTTTGCTGTTTCATATATTTCCTTTAGAATGTTCCAATTCATATAATAAAAATTTGAAGTTTTTCTGCTGCTAGTCTTGAAGCTAGAATTGATTTGGTAAGATATATATTTAGTAGTTTTTAAGCAAAGAGTATTCTTATATAAGAAATTCTGAACATCTTTCATTTACAGGAATTTTGATGATGGATTTCCAAATCTTTACATAAACAATGCACATGATATCCGAGGCCAGCATGTTGCCTTTCTTGCATCCTTCAGCTCCCCAGCTGTTATCTTTGAACAGCTTTCTGTCATATATAATCTTCCGCGATTATTTGTTGCTTCCTTCACATTGGTGTTGCCATTCTTTCCGACTGGCTCCTTTGAGAGAATGGAAGAAGAAGGAGATGTAGCAACTGCATTTACTATGGCAAGGATTTTGTCAAATATTCCCATATCTAGGGGTGGTCCTACAAGTTTAGTCATTTATGACATCCATGCTCTGCAGGTTTGTTTTCCTTGCTGTGAAATGATTACGTATTTATTCCTTTGCTACAATATTTATTTATTTATTTTTTGCTGAAGCGGCTTATCAGATTCATCTGAAAAGTTCTATTTAATTATTTAGCATCAGCATGATGCTGATGAGCAATACCTGGTTTTAAATCACTTTAGAGTTTAAACATAACAAGAATCTTAATCCTATAATCTCACTCTAGGTCATGTTTCTTATCTAGCAAGATATCTTAAATCAGTCACTTCTTCTGCTGCTCTTATTATACTAAGTGTGATTTAATAGTTTTTTAGCTTCAAATTTAACAATGGCTTACAACTTTTAGGACAATGCCATGCTGGAATGGAGGATACCAATTTAGCAGTTTGTCATTATGATACTTGTTCCTGCTATTTTGATTATTATTAATCAGTTTGATCTGGAAAGCAGTTGGGTGTGTCTCATAGGATAGAGTTGGGATGTAGGTTTGTAACTAAATAGTAAGATTGAGAGAGGAGAAAAAATGAAACTGATGTTCTACTGCAATATTAAAGCTTTAGATTTATTACGTTTACATTCATGTTTAATGGTATTTGTTTAAGTATATTTATGTATTACTTATGTGCAAATATGCATGCTTTGGTATAGAGAATGTGTAGGCATTTTCTATTCATCTGACTCAAAAATATTTAAGTTGACATACCTCAGAAGAAATATATTGTTGAATGAAGAAGCATGCATTAGATGAAGAAGTGAAGTTCCAGTTTTTTGAGGAAAGGTGGAAATGAAGTTCCAGTTTTGGATGACCTTTGTTCTATTAGACGCATGTCTTTTCCAGTTTTTTATTTTAGTTTATTTTTTTAAAGTGCAGCTTCAATTTTGTATTTGGGCATCTCTTGACCCAGCCCAGATATTTTGTATCTGATCAAATGTTCAGATTGTTTAATTTGATGTTTCAATGTATGAACCTTGGATCGTTGACATTGATTCAATCAGCATCAGCATTCATTGAAGGCCATGGCCTTGGAAAGTGACAGATCCTTTTGTTTGTGAAGTAGATTGGTAGTTTTTCCCAAAAGTTTATTTATAAGCATTCGACGTGTTTTGTACATGCTATATCTTATATTTAATGTGTATTTAATGAGCAATAACACAATAGATCTATATTTTCAAACATGATTAATTTATGATTCAGTGGTTGAGGGGCAGGGTTTCCCTTGGTTTATAGTCTTCTCACCAGCATAGTGGTTTTAGCATCAATGAGGACTCTTTTATTTCTTCTCATGGTTTGACTTGTTCCTCCAAAGCAATCTCAAAATACTGTCTTGTCCTTTTGCTTTCTTTCTGAGTTTAGGCCTTGGATTATGAAATTTTTTGTTTGGTTGTACTGTGTCAGTGTTATTGGTTTATCGATCACTTACAATATTTATGTCGATGCTTTGCTTATTTTCTGTCTTGTAAGGAGACTTGATCATTAATTGTTAATTCTCCGTATAATATAGGAAAGATTTTATTTTGGAGATCATGTGTTGCCGTTATTTGAAACTGGGATTCCTCTTCTAAAGCAACGTCTTCACCAGCTTCCTGATGCTAATAAGGTAAGTATATCACCTCCAAATGTTGAATGTGGCAAAATATAATTTTCTTTGTGGTCATGCTGCTAGTCAGCATTAGAAATGGTCGCTTATGCTAGGTTGTTAAATCCTCTCCAATTAAATTGAATTTGTTTTTCAGATAGTTGTTGCGTTTCCGGATGATGGAGCTTGGAAACGATTTCACAAGCTGTTGGATAATTTTCCAACGGTGAGTTTAGACTTTTACCTAAATTAAGTTACATTATATTTTGTGCTCGTTTATTATAAGTAGACTGAAGCTACATGGTAATTGATTGGCAGGTTATCTGCACCAAGGCTCGTGAGGGTGACAAGAGGAGAGTTCAACTCAAGGAGGGAAATCCTGCTGATTGTCATGTCGTGATAGTTGACGACTTAGTGCAATCTGGAGGCACTCTTATTGAATGCCAGGTATTTATAATCCGATAATCTCTTTTTTTTTTTTTTGAGTGGGTTTGTCTTATTGTTCCTTCATGTACTTCTTCTTGTTCTTCCAGAAAGTTTTGGTAGCTAATGGTGCGGCAAAGGTGAGTGCATATGTGACTCATGGTGTTTTTCCTAAGCGTTCGTGGGAGCGATTTACGCAAAAGAATGAAGGTAAGTACTTCCACATTCTCATCTCTCTCTCTCTCTCTCTGAACGTATGTTGTGTTGATTTTTATTTGATTCCATTTTTTACAAGGATCAGAGAAGGGATTTGCCTTCTTTTGGATCACTGATTCATGCCCTCACACTGTTAAAGCCATAGGAAACACAGCTCCTTTCGAAGTTCTGAGTCTTGCAGGATCAATTGCTGATTCTCTACAAATTTAACCGAATATTCCCATTTCCAAGCTGCTTCGTATCAATTTTTTTTTTCAGTCCATTTGGAAGTCCGATCAGAGGGATTCTCAGTGCACCAGAAGGTGCATTTTATGGCTGGACCCCTAATGCTCTCCGCCTATTCAATGTATTTGGACCATCAAGATGTTATTAAACTCATTAGCTTTAATTAATTCAGTGATAAAATAAAGTTTTTAGATTTTTCTCAAACCAAGCCAATGAGCTGCCCTGTTCGTAAGCAGACAGATTATAAAAAACAAAGAAACTTTTATGTTCCGTTATAATCATAATAATTTTTTAAAACTAAATATATTTATAAATATTTTTGCAAAAATAAAAACCCGTGTTCGGTGACCTAATGTAGGTAAAAAGACTGTAGATGAGGTCTACGTTAAAATAGGAAGATCATTCATGAACTAGTAATGTCAAAATACTGTAGATGATATATAAAATTACATGACAGCAAACAAATTGCCGATAAGATAATGCAATTATCCGTAATACAACCTTCTGCTACGAAGTATTATAAAGTTAAAGATATTTCCTGTTATAATTTACACAAGTATTCTGACACACAAGCTTTAATATCAACTTCGCGGTACATTTCTCTGGCCACAATAAAGGGTATAAAGTTCAACGGAATGCATGCAAGTACAAGATTCATCAGCGCAGCTTTCATTTTCAAATCCCCAACTTCAGCCTTGAGGAGCATTTTTCCTTTAGTATTCAAGAAACCCCATTGATGCAATTCCATTACCAGAGCTTCTCAAGTCCTGTCTGCTCATGTAGTCATCACAGTGGTTGCCACCATTGGTGGTGGTGGTGGTGGTGGTGGTGGTGATGGTGGTGAGCCTTTGGCTTGGGACAGAAGTGGAAGGATTCAGGCCTTCTTTCCCCATTTGTTGCACTTCAAGCGGAGATAGTATCTTGATATACCACACACTGTTCACGAATTCCCTACAAAACAAGCAACAAAAAATTAATCCACTAAAATCAAATCTTGAACAATCTATCAGTTTCACTACCACCGCACAACTCTAAAGAAAGAGGGTTCAAGATTTTAATTTTTCTTCTGATGCTTTTGCAAGTCATGCCAGATGTAGTTACATATACATAAATTTTGCATACCGGAGACATTTAAGAATGCATGAAACACAAATTAAACTATAATGTCATTGTTCTAGTGATGGAACCCACACTCGAATCATAACTCAAAAAGTACTTAGATTGGTTATATAGCTCTTTCTCAACTTCAAACAAGATTTAATAAATTGAATGACTTTCAATCATACCTTTAACCTCTTCAAATCAAAATCCACCGTTAAACACTCTTTAAGACTTTAACCCTTTCATTTGTTTCATACTGTTTTGCATCAACAAATACATTAATCCTATGTTGCAAGTTAGGAACAAATCTTTTGTCCATTCAATTCCACTTGACACCAATATAAAATATAATATTCTTTTAGCACTCCTCAATCCTTCCCTTCTTTTCCTTTTTTTCCCCCTCATCGACCATTGGACCCTCAATTTATTTCAGTTTTGCAATGGTACATCCTTAACCCTGAATCACACAACCAAGCAATCAAAATCCTTTTTTTTTTTTAATTTACCTTTGATCGATGCCTCAAACTATTCCTTTATATTCTAGTAATACCATTCAAATATACTTTCCAATACTTTAGTAAATACTCATCTTTCTGGACAAAAAATGCATAGTTTTAGAATTATGGTCCCCACTTCCCCTTTGGTAGGCTTCATCTTCTCTTCCAAAATCTTAGTCACTTGTAGATTATCACCGTAGATGCGATTTTATAAGTTTTCTATTCTTACAAACAGTGTTGAAGACTTTCATCAAGTTGTTGTATCTTTAACTCTTTTGGGACATAATAGTCTAGAAAACATTCCTGCATCACCTAGGAATTCCCAAACCAAAAATAAGAATTCCATCCAAACCAACTCCTTTTTCAGAATAGCCTCCATATGCAGACAGCAAGCATGCCGAGAAAGGATCTAATAACAAAAAGTGTGATTATTATGTTGTTTATTCAATTTATTGATTGGAGCTTACATAGGTGGTAGAATCAAGTTTTTACTTTCTGTATTATGGAAATAACAAATTTTATCTTCACTAGGTTGTATTTTACAAGAGCTTAAATATACTTTTTTTTTTGGCTATTGGCTTAAATATACATTTTAATAGCCCAAGTTAGAAGTTCGGCTTGGTATAAAAAACCTAACTTAAGCAGTTGACAGTAATAAAAATCTACACATCTTTGTAATCTCTGTCAATAAAACAAATACTGTTACTGCCCTCACAGCATCTTTAAGCTTGCATTACTGGTTGCTAGTCTAATCACCGCTGAGGTTTTGTTATTTTATTTCTTTAATGATTCTTTTCTCATTATTTTGTGTATGAATCAATTCTGGAAATCATTACCGCCCCTTAGCGCCAGAAATTTTAAAAGCCCTAAAATTAATCATTTGTTAGAATCCTATTCTGCAGTACATGTGTTAACACTTGAATCTCTATCTGAAATTTGATTGATACCAAAAATCTTGCAGCACAGGAAATCTTATCAGCATCACAGTAGCTTGATAAGTGCAAATTTTCAACAAGGGAGAATCAGAGCAATAATGAGAGCTATCATCAAGGAAGAGCATGTTACAAGAAAAATAATTTAAATTTACATTCAAGAAAGGTTCTAAACCTTGGAATACCATCTTAAAGAACAGATTCAAAAGACTGCAGGTTCACTAATAATAAAATTTACTAATGCATTGGATGGATTTGTAAATTTGGTTGCAATAATCACAAAACTGTTTAACAACTAAAAAAGATTTGAAAGTAAATAATATCAGACAACCTTATGCTTAGAATACACTTTGAGTGAGGACTCTTTTCAGACAATTAGGAGGTTTGTTCAAGAAAATTATAAAGTTTGATGAACTTTATAATTGTTATTGATACCGATGGAAAAGAATGTTCTCCAAATTGTCTGAAATTTGGTGCAATAATTATAAAGAATTTTCTCCATGAGTATCTTTAACAGTCACAGAAAATTATTCAAACATAAATAAGTATGGTTTGGAACTTACTGCCAAGGGTCATCACCAAGGAGAAGAATGTCATTCTCCCTATCAACAAATACAAGCTGCCAGCCTGATCTCTGAGGGTCCTCTAATTGGCCTTCAAGACCAAACATTCGAGCGAGCTCACAGCGCAGCTCATCATAGCTGCTGAACTTGGAAATATCCAATGAGCGCCCAAAGGACCCCGACTTGTGAACCTGTCAACAAGCATAAGATTGAAAACCATGAGAATTGCAAGCCATGAAAGAAAGTAGACATAATCCCGTACTTAGTTTTCGAAATAAAATAGACAGTCCAATACAATATCATTAATACATGACACCATGATAACTATATGTGTTTGAGACACTAAAAGTTAACCAATTGACTTTCTCAGCCAAAATAGGAAAAGAAAAGTGGTTGCCTTCATTAGCAATGGCATCCAACTCATACCCACTGTTGTCAGTTGGGCATTATATCAGAGATCTATTAGAAGGAAGTGAGCGACAAACCCACATAACAAAGCTTTGCCTACACTATGTGAGCCTCAAAATGTGATTTGTATGCCTTAGTAACCAGAAAAAAAAAATACTATTACCTTCACAAATAATCAAAATAATCAAAGATGCATTGCAAACATAAAGAAAAATACTATTACCTTCACAAAGGTTCTGGTTGGAGTTACTTGGTCAACATTTTCAGAAGACTGCAAGTAACCTGATTCATCCACACAACTTGAGGTAGTCATGTCTGAATTAAGAGGAAAATCTGTGCCAGAAGCACTTGTGAAATTTGAAGCAGCATACGGCAGAGACAATGAATCATTTTCATTTCTGATATTTTTCAGGTTTGTCATCCCGTGCTGCAGCATAAGAGATGAGGAATCAATGCTAACCCCAAACAGAAAATTTTGCGGATCACTTGAACCGATGTAAGCAGAATACTCCCTTCCTGGAAACGGAGGTAATAAGTTAGAAAGTTCGGATACATTTGACTGTGCAGTTCCCAACTGTTCAACCTGGGGCAGTACACAGTTAGTAGCTCCAGATGAAAGCTGTGGTTCAATAGCTACTGACTTAGACAAAAAAGCAGAAGAGATAATTGGGTTTGATCCATTCACATTGAGTAAATTGGAACATCCAGCCTGGGATAATGAACCTAAGATACTTTGCATAGAGGAAACATCAGATGTGGCTATATTGTTCACAAGACGGTCAGAAAATGTCTGCTGCTGGCATTGTGAAGCAACAGCTGGCAGAGATGAGGACTGGGCCTGGCTGGCTGATGCAGAAGGAAAAGCAGCGTTTACATTAGGAATCTGTTGTGGAACAGACAACTGTGGTAGTTGCTGTGATTGTTGAGACTGTTGCTGTTGCTGATGTTGTTGTTGCTGCTGCTGCTGCTGCTGCTGCTGTTGCTGTTGTCGTGGATCATTGTACAAATTGGGATGCTGCAACTGCTGCAGAAGCTGAACATGTGAAGCAGTCTGATTTTCCTGAAAACTCTGAAGAAAGGCATTTTGTGTTTGGGACTGCTGTAACATCTGCCTCTGAATTAGAGCAGGCGACCCATTGGATGTGCTCTGAGGTTGCTGGAATTGCAAGAGAGATTGAGAGCCCAGTTTGGATGAATCAACTGTCCTCATTTCCTGAAGTGCGGCAGCAGCCATTGCTTGGTAAAGATCAGATTGTACACCTGGTATTGAAGAAGTATCAAGCCTTGGCTGTACCAAGGGTGCAACTCCAAATCCTTGGAAGTTTAAAGACTGAATTCCTTGATCTCCAACCCCACCTTGAAGCCACATCAATTGGGAGTTCATGCTCATATCACCATCCTTGAAAGCTGGTAATAAAAACTAAACTGGTTCAGTACAGAAAAGTAAAACTCCTAATTTTAGGTCTAGTCAAGAAGATATTGTGTGTAATTCCAAGCATCAATAGCAAAGATTCTACCATACCATAGAAGGAGGGTAGTGCAGATGGCCATGGCCGCTTCAATCGCAGGGGGAAAGGTGATGGATACATAGGGAAGGTTGTTAATGGTTCAATCTCCCACAAGGACACCCTTGGCTGCCTCTCTCCTGCAGTGGATTCATCCCAGCCAACCTGGGATTAGTAAAGTAAGGCTTTCACGTCAGCTAGTAATGAACACATTGCCTTTTTAAGCCCAAGAAAAAAAAAAGGAAAAAGAAGATATAATATTGGAAACTCAAATAATGGACGTAGAAACTTCAAACAAACCTTAAGAGAGCGCCAATGCGAATTTGGCCAGCGAACAGGATCTAAGTCACTAATGCCAGTTATTGTACCCATATATCTGATACAAAAAACACTGAAGTTATCAGCCACTTACATTTGCCATTGATACTATAGCTAATTGACTTATAAAAGTAGACATATTTATTTGAGGAAAATAAAACCATTGCAGTGGAAGAAAACACCATAATATTTAAGCAATTCCCAGAAGCAAGAAAACACTTAGAGAATTAAGACCCACCTGCGGACACTTGACTCTTCTGTCTCAAACAGCATTCTAAATCGCATGCCTACAGAAACCCGGGTGTGATAGACTGCTTTAATGTACTTGGCAAGAGGAATGACAAACTCTGAAGGACTTGCCCTGCAATCAAACTACTGTAAATGACCAAGTCTTAAGTTGTAACAGCATCAGTCTTTTTTCAATTAGTATTAGATAGTTGACCTGGGGTTATAAAATATAGTAAAACGGCTATTGGTTGAAGCTGCATGAGCTGCTGCAGCAAGAAGACCAATGTGCATACTATCACTTGATAAAACAGAAGAAGGCATAACCGTCTGAGGACGATTTGCTCTCCTGATACCCAACAACAATTGATTCTTCTCATTCCTGGTAGAAGAAAACATATAAAGAAACCAGAAAATTATAGACTGCTTAGCAAGTTCATTGATCAGTAGCAGGCAAGAAAAAGCAGTAAAGCTGTACTAACAACTGCCAACGTATAAATGGTGCACACTAGAGCTGGCAAAGCTGACCCAAACCCAAAAACCTGTCCAAACTGATCCTGACCCAACCAAATTTGACCAAGAAAAGTCAACTAAAACAACCTGAACTAAAATTGATTTAACTTCAAAACTAAACAATTTAGATTCAAAATGAACCGAACCTGAAGCAACCCGGACATAAAATGACCCAAATTTTCCCAACCCAAAGTGATCCAACCTACCCAAATGCCACCTTTAGTGCACACAAGGAAGATTCATACCAGATGGCTCATCAGTTTAGAGATGAAAAATAGAAACGAATAATTTATCAGAGAAGATATATTCATACACCAAAAAATGCATTCAAAAATTTTTTGCTGCCAAACTATCTAAGCAAGATGACTTAACTAGATTGTTTCAAGTCCCATCAGGGATTTGACAGCTATTAGCAGGATACTTCTTCGGCCAATCACAGAGCAAAGGTACTTCAATTACAAACGAAGTAATCATAAATTATATTTGGAAGAGAGGAAAACCTATTTACCAAATAAAAAGGACTGAGTCACCAGCAACAAGTCTTTTTGCACTAACAAAGACACTCCACCCAGACGTAAGAAGATGCCTCTTAGGCTGGCCTGCATATGAGAGCAGAGAAAAATTGATTAAAGAATGGAATTACACCAAGTGAAATTCAAAACCTATTCATCATACAAGAAGGCATATACCTCCCTCAAAATATAAAAAGTGATTCACCAAAAACAGCTCCCAATGTCCCACAGTAAATGCGACATTCCAAGTATTAAATCAGAACATATTCCTACAGGAACTAGCAAAAATTGCTATTCTTCTTTAACAGGCAACACATGATAAAAAATGAGGCAAACCTTCAGTTGTATCCAGCATACAAAAATGAGGCAAACCTTCAGTTGAATCCAGCATACAACAAAGCCTAAAGAAATAGCATGAAAGTGCTATTCCATCTGATAATGATTTTGTCCAAGATCAAGGGGTAGAGGGGACTAATTAGTCCATTAAGCATGACTCCCTTTCCATACAACATTTGATCCCATCAAGTAAATCATGCATACCGGAAATATTCCCAAGAAGTCTTCAAATGTTTTTCTTACAGAATTACTACTGGATGACCATCATTAACCAAGAGTTTAGCATTTGATTAACTGTTTTCAATAAAGGCCTCAATCATAGACAGCTGATTAATCTTCTCAATCCCCTCAAATTTATTGTGAAAGCAAAAGGACTTAAGCAGATCAAAGCCACAACTTGAAGACCTTAAAGACAAATTGACTTTTGTAAATGGCCCAGAAACATTTTTTGTTTCTATCAAACAAACATATCCACCTCATCTGAAGCATATATTTCAGGAAAAAGAAAAAAAAGAGGAGCACTTGAGAAGGTCATCATATTCCACAATGTGCTAACACCAACATCAACCAAAATTTTAATACAGGAAGAGATGACCTAAAAACTCTGAACAGTTGCAAGATGAGAAACAAAAAAGACTTACCAAGTAAATGATATGCTGACACGGCAAAATTACAAAAATAGCATATATCTAACAAAGTAAACAAGAAAGCATTATCTGTAATATCTTCTTAAAAGATTTCCTGTTCCGATATCTTTTTTTCTTATTCATCATAAATAACTAACTTCCCTTTGTAAGATTCGCATATTAACCACACTCTAAAACAAAATATGTAAATCTCAGTTCCAGAGATTCTTAGCCACAATTTAACAAGAGCAATAACTGATGCAGAATATAACAAGGATATTTCATGGGTTATTAACTAAATTATTCCTTGAGAATTGTTTTCCGAAACTTTTAGAAACAACCGTATAAAACACCCAAGGGGTTAAGAAATATTACAGCTCCTTCAAAAGTAAATCAACAATTTCTTCAAAAAGTTAATAAACTGGATATAAATGTTCAAATGAAAGCATGACCACAATCTTAAAACAAAAATTGGTAAATATATTTCTTAAAATGTATGTAGGAACCAATTTGAACAAAGTTATTTTAATCACTCAACCTCGAAATATAATGTTTAAATATTCACCATAATCATGAAGATTAATAACTCTGCTGGAAGGTTTTGGAGTAATCCTAAGCAAGGACTAATAATAATTTTTTAATAATTAATAAATGGAAAATGTGTAACTTTCATTAAAACAGAAATGGTGAATAGTTCTTGAAACTAAACATCAGAGGTTGGGACTTTTCAGCCCCAGGCGAGGAACAGTAAAATCACATCATAATGCTATTACTTGTTGTCGTTTTTACAAAATAATTTGTTGGTCTGGTTGCTGGGAGTACCAACTTTGGCAGCAGTAGGATATCTTTTGTCTTGACAAAATGCTTTCAAGTCAAGAAGTAAAAAATGACATGACTAAAAACCACTAAAACTTCAAACAAGGTCAAGTTCCCATACCGGACTCAATGGCTGCAAGGTCATTTGAGCATACACTTCATCTGTTTCTACATCTGCCTGTACTTGAAAGAATAAATGCCTTGATAAGAAACCAACTAAAGTTCCTTAAACGGAAAGCAACCTATTCAGCATTTAACTTACATGCATAGTCACATTGTGAAGCTGACAGATAAGCTGTGCGGGTAAGCTCGGATAGTTTGGTATATGAGCATCTACTTCCTTGTTGGTCGAAGCAGCAACCTGCAGAGGGAAATCATAAACACCAACAGCACGCTGAAATATCAGATACAAAATATACAGTTCCTTATAGAGTGCTGTTAGTTTTAGAAGCTTCAGCTGTTCAATAAGCAATTAATGCATTAACAACTAAACAGGAGGGAATAAATTCAGCAGACTGAAATGGCTGGTTCAAGGTAGTTCTATTATTACATACCGCTGGAAAAGACATCTACATCCTTGCATGGCATTTAAAATTCTATATCATCCTTAAAACTTCTGCTTGTTATCTATTTTCTTGAGCACATATGGATAGAATCAAATTTGCAAAAGAAAGCATGAGAAATGATGCAGGCATGCTTACCTGTTCACTGTGACCTTGGGGAAAGTAAACAACTCGATTTCCAACAGGTGGTAGAGACACCAGAGGACCCGCACATGCATGCCAAAGTTCATAATTCAAACATTTCTTCTCCCCTATACAAAAATCTTTCATGACTTCATAATTTCGAAAAATTAAAAGTTTGTGCAACTCTATACTCAAAGAAAATACTAATAAAAAATTTTAAAAAGCTAAAAACAGCTACCTTCCTGAGTTTGCTGATTTAACCCTGATGAAGAGAGTCTCATACTTCAAATCTCAAAACAAAAAAAGGTTTTTTTTTTCTCAAACAAAAAAAGGCTTTTTTTTCTCAAACAAAAACCAAAAAAGAAGTGGTTGAAATGGAAAATACTAGCGCCCCTGTTATTGAAGTACATTCAGGGTTCGCACAAAAGCCATAGCTAAAAGGAAAAGAAGAGAAGAACCCACCCACCCACCCCCCCTTTCTCCACCAGATGCTTCTCAACCTAAGATAAAATCAACATCCAAAAAAACGAAGTACCCTTTACTCAACAGGGCCTCATGAAGCTCAGATCTTGCTTCTTTTTCACATTAACAAAATCCAAACTCTTCCAAGCTAAATCCTAGCTTTCTTCTTCACCAGATCTCTAAATTTCAAAGCTTTCCAAAACTACGCTCTCACGACGCCCAAGTGTCCCTTCCGTCTGATTACTGGAGCTGCTCAGCTGAGTTATGAAGAAAACTACAGAATGACACTTTAATTATTTTCGGAGTTTTTTTTTTTTTTTTTTTAAGAGAGACAGCTGAAGGAATTGACAGCAGCTGGATGAAAGGAGAGAGAGAAAGAAATGAAATCCGAAATCAACTAATACAATTATTATTGTTTTTTTTTATCCAGGGTGAAGTGAAGTCAGATTTTTTTTTTCTCATTATTATTACCGTAAAAATAAAAAGAGAAAGGGTAAATTACTTTTACTAAGTGAATATCATTTTTATTTATAAATTTTAAAAAATAATACATTGATCTATATTTGTATGAACAAAATGGTTTTTTAATAAATAAAATTGTTAATGTAACCATTAAATCAAAAATAAAATTACAAAAAAGTGATAATAAATTTTTTTACTTAATATTAATAATTTTGATAATTATATAAAAAATTAAATTAATTTTTTACCTTTAATTTTGTTAGTAAATTTTTTTTTCAATTTTATGGTAAAAAAAATTTATATCTTAAAAATAAAAATTACCTACTTTTCTTTCAATTTATCTATCGTTTGTTTAAAATATACAATTAAACTATATACTATCATAAAATATTTCATTGTGTATTTATTATTTATTTTATAACATTTCATTATTATAAAGTATTTCTTCAAAAATCAAAATTTTTTAGTTATAAAATATTAGTATAAAAGTTTCAATGAAATTTATATAAATTTCACACTATCACTTATTAATAAAAAATAATAAATTTAATAATTTGAATCATAATTAAAAATTTTTAACTGAATCAAATTTGAATAATATTTTTAAAGTCTCATCAAGATTCAACTTGACTCGTCTATTATAAAATTAAATAAGTTCATGTTATTATTAAAAATTAAAATATAAAAAAATATTTATATCTTAATATTTTATTTATAAAAATATTTTATTTATAAAATAATAATTTGATCCAATTGAGTCTAAATTTTAAAAATCATATCCAAAATTCAATTCAAGCATATCTAACTTATAAATATAATTGACAGTTCAATTTATAAGTAAATTTAATTGACTTAATAAATTTTATCTTAAAAAAATAAAAAATATTAATTAATTCAAAAATTAGTATTATAAAGATAACAATAAAAATACATAAAAATTAATATATATATATATAAATAAATTAAGAAAATAGATTTTATCAACTTTTATTTTTTTTATAATTATTTTATCTCTTATCATTAATCTTATAATGTTATCAATTCATTATCATATTTTGTATTTTTTTTTTGACAAAAAGATTGATTTGTTAGATTATTAAAATATAAAAATTAATATATTATTTTTTAAAATTTATTACGAGTATCAAAAAATATAAAAATTAAAATATCAATGTTTATTAATTTGAATGATAAAAAATTTAATTTTTTTAAATAAAATTTTAATTTCAAATTTTATGAATAAAAAAATAAATTTAAAAAAGCTTGTTCTTATTATAAAATTCAATCCAACTCAATTTTAAATCAATAGTGATTATCAAACGCTGAAATTTCAGGTAAAAAAATAAAACTTAAAACTATACTCATCCTAAAATTTACTGATGTTTTAAAACTCGATCTTGGCCCTTCGATGTTTATCTTGTCATGATCAATGTAGTGGGCCCTACATAACCATGCAACGAAGAAAATCAATCTTCACGTTTGGTATCGATGCCAAGGCAGGTGTTAGTCTAGTCATTGGTCACGGCTTATGTGCGCTGTACGAGGCTAGAAGAGGTCTTTGTCCAAGTGTAACTGAGAGGCAGAACCAGGGAGACCCAGCTCAAGGTGCTAAAACTGTTGTATCCAATTCGTTTTGATTAATATATACTAATATTTATGAATTTTTAAAATTTAGGCTGGATTGTTTAGTACAAAATAATTTTTGAAAAATAATTTTTATATTCTTAAACGTCTATTTGATAGAAGTTTGATTAATCAAAAGAAAATGATTTATTAGTTAACAAAAAATAAGATAATTTTTTAAAAAATTGTCTTACCCTATTGAAAATAAGAAGATAATTTTGAAAAAATAATTTATAATTATTAATGTGTTTGAATATAATTTTATTTAAATTAAACTTTATACATGATTTTTTAAGTTTAAATTTTATTTCACCTTATTCAAAATATTATTATATTAATAAATAATATTTTTATTTAATTTTACCTAAAAAATTAAAAATTAATACTAAAAGCTTTTTTATATTTTAATTTTAAATATTTTTGTAGTTTTACTAAAGCAAGACTTTGAATATAATATTTTAAGCTCAAACTTGATTTGATTTGACTTAAAATATTATTATATTAATAAAAGTATTTTATTTAATTTTAATTAAAAATTAAAATATTAACATTAAAGGTTTTTTGATATTTCAATTTTAAATATTTTATCTTTTATATTATTAACCATAAATATTTTTTAGTATTTCAACAATAAATAGTTTTACGTTATTATTTTAAAAACATATAATAATATTTTTATTATTTTAATAATTAATGTTAATATTATTTTCTTAATATGAATATTTTTAATAATTTTTTATTATTTTTAGTTTAAAATATATATTTTTATATTTTTTGTTAAGGTATTTATATTACTATTTTAATAATAAATATAAATAAAAATATTTTTATTATAATTTAATAATAGATACTTTCAATATAAAATATGAATATTTTAACTGTATAAATATTTTAATAATAAATATTATTATTTTAAATATTTTAAAATATTAATATAAAGAATAATAAATATTTTTATTTTAAGTATTTTTATATTAATATAATATTTTAATGTTAAATATTATTATTAAAAATAATTATTCTTGAAAATTAATAATTTTAATAATAAATAATTTCAATATACTTTAATAATAAATAATTTTTAATATTTAAATAGTTATATTAATATTATTTGAAAAAAAAACAAATTTTTCAAAAAACAACCAAATAATAAAAAAAATTCTTTATTAACTCATTCAAACAATTAGAAAATATCTACTTTTTTTAAAAAGTAAATATTTTTCAAAAAATATATTTTGAAAGTCAATTACTACGAAACAAATTGAACCTTAATCTAAGTAAGAAATCAAAATGATTTGAATTTTATCAATTCAATTTTATTCATTGATTTTTGAAATTAATAATTTTAATTTTTATTATTTTTATATTATTTTAAATATATTTAAATAAAATTTAAATATAAAATAATTATTTTATATTAGAAAATTTTAAATATATATAAAGTAATAAAAATATATAATTTGATTTGTTTCAAATATTTTGTATTTTTTACTTTTTGATCTGAAAATCAAATCGAATTAAATTAAAACATATAATATCCGAACTTAAATCGAATCGAATAAGAGAAAATTGATTCAAACCATTATTATCAGAATTAGATTGAACATTAAACTGTTCAAAATTTTGAGTCATCAAATTAATGGTTCAACCACTGAATTAATGGGTCAATTGTCAATTCAATAAAAAATATTTTAAAAATTTTAAAAATTTAAAATTCAAACTTTTAACTAAAGTTAAAGTTTAATAATTCAACCATAAAATTATAAATTTTAAGGTATATCATAAACTACAATTTTTAAAATATAAAATTCATAAAACAATTAATTACTATTTAGAAATGTAATTAATATTTTATTAAAATCATATTTTATATTTTAATAGTTAGAAATAATATTTATATTTTAATAAATATAATAAATAATAAGTAATAAATAATTATTATTTATATTTATTAAATATAAATACTATTTATTAATATATAATAATTAATCTTTATGTAATAAAAAAGAAATATCTATATATAAAATTAATAAAAAGAAAAATTATATATTTATATGAAAATTAGTAAAAAAGAAATTAAAATAATTTTTATATTTATTATATAAATGTAGATTTTTTTATTAATTTTACATATATACATTTTTTTATTAATTATTTTCGATTATGGTCAAATAATTAATCATTTTTATTAACAATTTATTTTTTTATTAATTTTATATATTATTAATTTTATAATTATTTTTAATTATGGTATCAATTAATAAATATTTTTTGTTAGATCATTTTTTTTTAAATTGCTTATTTTTATACATGTATAATTTTTTTACAATATCATTATCTACATGTCTCAAATATATGCCAACATATCATTAATATAAGGATGCAAAGGCTTTCATAGTATAAAATAAGAATGGGGGGGGTTATTTAGATAAGATAGTAGTATAAGGGTTTAATTAGATTATTTTGAATACTTGAATGGTTTTTTTTATATTTTGACCTAAACTTATTACTTGGTATTGAATTAGTTCGATTAAAAAAAATCGTTCTATTTACTAATTTATTATGTAAATCGTCAGTTCACAACAATTTAAAGAGTTTTAATAGCAAAACTAGTCTAATTACAAAACCAGACTGGTTTTAGCATCAATTCATCAGTTCACCTGGTTGGACCAACGATCCGATTTGGTTCTAATAACTATGATTTCAATACAATGTTTTGAATCAATTTTTGATTTTTTTCTTTTTATTTTTCCTTACCCTTACTTGAGGCCTTAGAGTGTGCATAAGAGTGTCGAGACCAAGGATACGAGATTGAGTCTTAATATGTGCAATTGGATGTTGAGGAAGAGAGTCACAAGTGAGAAAGCTCCAAAATACTCAAGACATGTAAGATAAACAC